AAACAAGTTGAATAAAGTCGAGATAACTGACCTTGAAGCTATCTCTAGACACCCCCACCCAAGAACAATTCCTTATATTTTTAAGCCACAATGGAAGCAAATATTTTTTTTTTAATATTTTAAAACAATGTTACTGAACTAAATATTCGCCATTTCGATCGATTATCCTCTGCCATTTTTCTATTACAATCATGATCCCATCACTCTAGAATTTCTATGGTTGCTGGTAAAAAAATTGTGACAAATGATATTTACAGCCTTTCATTGAAATCAAACTACTATTATTAAGGGCGTTCTGTAATGTAAGGGTGGAACTATGGTGGGGATGCACTGCAATTTTTTTATTGAAGTTCTGTCAGTTTTGCCGGCTTGATAAAGCTGTGTACGATCTGGCACCACCATGGTGGCAGACTGCTCCGGTCGATATTCTTCTTTAAAATCTAGTTTTATGTTGACGGTAGAGGTCCTAATGAGTCGTCCTATTAAGCGGCAACAACGGCCCAGTTTCATCAAATACGTAGCGTCATCATTTTCTTTGCCGTAGATTGTGGAGTATTTTTCCACACATTACTGTCATCTCGTTTTAATCAGCTGTGATTAATCACTTTAGAAATGACTTCAATGCGTTTCTGTAAAATTTCATAGATGGATTTATAATCGAATAGATAACTTTGCTTCACTTCGTACAACGAGCTACCTTTGAAACACTGAAATTTCCCCATTAAACGGAAGTGAGAGGGCCATCTTTAGGACGCTCGCCCCGATAACGTGTCTTGACCATAAATACTACAAATTTGTTTTATTGGCCTCGGCAGCATTTGTACCTTCACCATAATAAAATTGCAAAATAATACAACTTTTTCCAGAAACTTCAATCGTTTCCAGAGCGCTTTACCTAAAGTGTGAAGAAAGATATTTCAAGGGATATTTCTTCTACTGCCAAACCTCAGCTTTCAAATAACACGAATGCCAACGCGACTGAGCTGAGATACGTAACTTTAAAGTTACCTGGCTAAAAATATTTTTTGCCTGAACCTTCTGAACAACTAAATATTATTGCGGGATCAACGCTTATGGATGTAGGACATTTGAATATAGAATAGAGAATCCGAATCATCAAAGCACTAGCGTAGATCCTTTGAACGTACATTAGATAAATGAATTATAAATTCAATGCAAGGCCAAAACGGTAAATAATTGCAACCAATTTCGTTCGCAAGACGGTGGCGTCCTAAGCGTGGCCTGATTCAACCTTTTCGTTTTCAAACGGTCGAAGTCTAACGAAAGCTACAATGGCCCTTCTTTAAAGAAGAGAGGTTCGAATTTTGAAAAGATCATATTCACAAAAGCCACTTTAGTGGCTGATGGAACTGAAGAGAGGGCAGGTGATGACAGTCACGTAGATTAACGATGACCCAGAAGAGTGCGATCTCCTGTCGATGTTCCTTCTCGCTCTATCCTCTTCCATAAAACAGTCTCAATAGCTCAGTTGGGGGAGAGCACAATACGGCGTTATAACAACAGGCTAAAACTCTATAGATTGAATAACGGGACGTTAACTACACGTCGATGTGCATTAGTTTCAAACATCTCTATACCGATAGAGCCTAACGCAGAATCCAACATCACCCACTGCTTGCCTAAAGGCCTAAAACCAAAACGTTTACGTCAGATGCATGAAAAGTCTTACACACATTCTGTGCATATTTTTTATAAAGCACGGAGCGTACGTACGTACTTGTTCAGATCACTAAATGTCTCAAAAGAGGGACAGTATGGGCTGGGTGGCTAATGCACATCTTTTTAAGTGGGTTTCCATTGTAACCGTTGGCACACGCCCATTGCTGGCTTAAATTTCAGCGCCGGCAAACACTATGCCATATGGGCATCGTGCTGTTTAGTCTTACATAATCTAAGTATTACATAAATCCGGCAAGGCCCATCCGCGTTCTGGTCAAGGAAAATCCTTGATATTCTATCGAAGACGCGAGTCTGAGGTCCTGTTTATATAGAACAAATAGTTCAAAGTACCAGAAACTCGTGAGCTTCGTAGTTTTTTAGCTCTTCATAAAATGGAAAACTAAATTTCGAACAATTAGCCCCCTTTTTGTGTGGAAGGGTTTGCTAGCAGGTCAACGACTAGCACCCGGCCCAGTGGAAAAAGGAAGTTGCCACACTTCCAATATTTTTAGCGCGGAATTTTTATAAAAATATAATTCATAACGAGTACCCAACGAAAACACATCTGGTCAGCTTAGCTATTAGTAAACCCCTCTCTCTATACATCACCTTCATTGGATTCTGGTTTTGAATTTACTGAGTGCACGAACCAAAGATTAGATTTAAAAAGAAAAAATTCATTAAATATGCGCGAAGATTGAGCAAGCTTGCACTTTCTATATTGATATAGTTGTACCAGAAACGGATTGATAGCTGATACAAATAGAAGCTAGATTATATCCAAGCTCCTCAAAACACAATTATAATTGTTAAGGCATTCGTTTTAATAAGGGTCTGTCCTAAATTTCTGTTTTGACCGCGATACGACCCGAGAATCCTTTATTTAGGCAGGCTTTATGCGAAAAGTCGTGGTGTAGTACCGTATCGAACGAAAGGACCTACGTGACTGTGTTTTGTCCGTAACACACACCTGTATAAAATACTTTACGCAAAAGAAATTTGTATTTTATTACATTTTTAAGTGTGTTGTATAAATGACACTGGGATTTAGGAAGCCATATATAGCAACGAATAAAAGAAGAAGTATAAAGCAATTCTAGCTTTTGCTATCACTCACCGCACACAATGGAATTGTAATGGGGCCAATGTTTACTTTGTACTTCTATAAATTCACACCCGAATCCTGCCATTCTCTACTAGACATCATGAACTAGCTTGCAAAAGCGTAGCTCGTATCTTTTAGAACGGATAATACCATTAACGGTCGGCTTCATGCTACGCACTTAATTAATTTGGCCTCGGTAAGCACAACAAGTTTCCGGCAATGGCGGTTTCTTTGTGATACTGTGAATTCGGCTTTCCAAGCTCGATCATAATGAACGTATACTTTTGGTTTCGAGACCGCAAACATCACGTAATTGCGGACGGATGCAATAATATATGACGGCAATAGTCAGTTTTTCTTAATTGGAAACTAGGCCAGATTCTGATCGACCACCTTGATCGTTCACAATAACGCAGTTCGAAACATTTTCTCTCTTTATTTTTGTTCGATAGCTACGAGAAAGGACCTAGCTCAAGGAGCTTTCGTAGAACGGCCTACGGGTTACTCGGCCCTCTAAACGATCCTCATTATTAGTAAAGACCTTGTTTGATGATGGTCTCTCTTGCACTTTATTTTGCTGCGTCTTTAGACAGTGAACAAGCTCGGGCAAGCGCTTAAGGCAAACGCTCGTTCTATAAGCCTTTAAGTAAACACCATCTATCCGTTATGACTTGTCAATTTGAATCCACGCTTTGGTGTACAAAATTAGTTATACACTATTAGAAGCTGTTCTTCTCTATATTGAGAAAGCTAAACTTTTCACGGCCAACCTGTTAACATTTCAGGCCTCTCGAAATAAAGCTCACAACCTTTTTATCGTAGGAGCTGGGTTAAACCCACTTTTACCCACTTACAGCAGCTAGTTAGAAATCGATATTGAACCGATAATAACGCCCTCAGGTGCCAGCAAACTCGAAAGCAGCTTGAATAATTCTTATGGTTTTCCTGCAAGTTTGATTTAACGAAAGACCATGTGTGCGTGAAATACTTAGATCAGCTATGTAAACCCTTATTAGCCCTTTACACGTGGTGTTAACTATTATGAGGAAAAAACCGATGACATTTCCAGTCAGCTTAAAATTTTCTTTTTCCCGTATTTTAAACTTGAACGATTAACTGATTCGGTTACAAGCGAAGTATACAATTACGAATAGAAGTAGGAACTTCAAAAAGTATTTTAAAAGCGCAAATTAAGGGGTTAGGCTAGCTGACAGAAGTACCAGGTTCTTGAGAAGTTATGCGATTTTACGATAAAACTAGTAACATGTAACAATTTCTATGGTAACCTACTATGGGTATTTCTTTGTCTGTAATATATATTTACTAAGTAGCACAAAAACTTGTTTAAAGAAATTGATTTTCTTTTCTTACAGTCAACCCGTTACTGGTAACATCAGATGTCTAGTCATCTCAAACGGCCTGCTATAACACGAGTAGTCATGTCGAGTTCTAGGTTGAAATTTACATACAATGCTGGTTTCCTGCCATTGTTTTGCAGAACGACTGTTTGCTCCGAGGTACCCTCCTCTTTCTCTTTTGAAGGGGCAGAGCTTACAAAGGGTTGGGATATACGGATGAGGGCCTTCAGAGCAGACGACGCGGATGGCCCGATGCAGACAGCGGAGTTCCACGGAGTCCTATCAGCTCTGTATTACCCAGCCAGCACATTTTTCATCGCCGTTCACTCGTTCCTGCAGCGCCAATAATTCCGAATGAATTTCAGATTAAAAGCACGACGCGCTTTTGTTCGGAGCGAAAGAAAACAGCGCTCGCAGTTTAGAGAAAGGGCCCAATGGTGAAGGGATATGCACGTACATACTTTAATTAGCGAAAAATACAGCAAAATACACCATATGTATATATGGTGTCTTTTAATATGTAACCACGCCAAGGTATATATGAAATTCCCAATAGCAAGATGCAACTGGAAAACTACTTTATTTGATTGGAGATATTGAAAAAAATCATTTTCGGAGTAACTGCTTATCTCAGTAGACCCTGCCAGTGAGGTTAATCGCTATGACAATTATCGGCACTGTGCAAGCTAAATGCCTCCTTAAGTGGAGCCCGTTTTTCGCACACCTGAAATAGTACGGGCAGTGTACTTAGGCGTAGTATTTATAGTGGGGAAGCCTAGGGTTTTGGTAGGAGCGAGAGTGTGCCTTGCGGGTCTGGGTGGGGGTGTCGAGGCAGACAAGATGGCGACCGACCTCACCCAAAAGTACACATCCAAAACACAACAGCAGCTCGTATAGGAGCAATCCAACTACATAGCGCTTCGCACTGGTTTGCTAAGAGCCCGACGCTTGGTCCTTAGAATATCAACATTGCCCAGACCCCAGACAGCAAGTCTCCACGAGTTCTGCTCAAGTCGCGCGTAACCCTTTACGTTGCATTGCGTATAATAGACCGCTAAAACCCTGATGCTTTATTACTGCATTGCATCCTTAAGGACCCTTAACAAGTTCAACTCTCAACGGACAAGCTCAATGTTGCACAATAAGACTGTTTCTCGTGTGATCCAGAAATCAAACATTCACTTATTGAGGGTACATTGAAAGAGCTGACGTAGCAATTCCAAAATGGACTACGGGACATGACCCTAGGTGTGCAATTGTGTAGTACTATCAATGTATCGATTAGTCGTTCTGAAGCTCTGGCTTTTTGAAGCAGTCGCAGCAACATCAGCCAGGCCGCATAGTGTGCGGAAGGCAGTGCTTAGAATTAGAAGATCGTTATTAAAGGTCTGACGGACTCGTCAGCCAATATTTATTTTAATGTGTGCATCATTCTGCCAACTGTAGCATCAACCTGTATAATTGGCAAGGTGTGATTATTTAGAAGGAGGTCATCGACCCGTGAGTTATCCAGCAGTGTCGCTTGCCTTTTTAGGTGAGACGTGTCCTACTAAGGCCATGTCAATCACAAGCGTTGTACGTCGGACGGCGCGTTTACTTAAGGAGGTAGCTAAAGATGACGAGCCTCCATGCGATGAAGGTAGGCACAATTCTACAGCAATAACACTTGGGGTACCGAACAAACAAATTGTTTGCGTTTGCTTCCTTTAGCCATTCTCAACAAACATACACAGCGAAGTTTTTTTTATAAACATATTCTATATTATATCAGCGAAGGGCAATTTACGGTTAGAAAAAATCGACCATATGTATGCAGCTATTTTTGAGCGCCGGTGCTCTTCGTCTTTGAATTACTGCAAACACGTTTTTCAGTGGGAATTAGTTATTTGTCGTTGTTCGCTCTATATCATTAGTTCAATGACAAAAACCACCTGATCAGTAAAAAAAAAAATTCGATCTGATCCTAACTATACATCTGAACAGCCTTGCAGGTCGAGAGTAGTTATGCTAGTATTAGATGGATAAGTGCTCTGGCATATTTTGAATCGTGTATTTCAATTAAGAGTTTATCGTGGTGATGTGAAAAAAACGTTCAATGTCGTATACTATATTATGATATTACAAAGCTGAAGCATTTTATACAAACAATTTAAATATAATTCCGTTCGTAATAAAATAAATAATTAAAGGATGAAGTATAGCAAGGACAATTATATCGTAAAAAGGCAGGCACTATATACAATAACGTGATTTAATAGCCCTATTATCGCTCTAGACCCAATAGCGAATAAATTAACACTATCCCATGTCCTTTGATTGGCCTGCCGTAGCAAAAAAAAAAACCTTGAAACTAATTGCTATTGGAAGCGACAAGATATGAGATCTTAGACAGGCTACTTTGATCCATTAACGGCATTCATAGATAACATTAATAACTCCTCAGTTATCGTGTGATTCAGAGCGCACTACATTAGATGGCAAAAGACACCTACGGTTGAGACTACGGTCGACAGTCATAAGACATGTCTTCGGCAATTAGTTATATATAATAACTAGTAACAACAAGATTGACGAGCAAAATAAAGCGTGTTCTAGTTTTTTTTTTTTTTTACAATAAGTAAAAACTTAGAACGGGTAAGTACTGCAGAATGTATCGTGGGACTACTACCGTTTAAGCGCTTGGAAATTACTGAAAGTTAGCATAGACGTTTCACTGTAGCGGGCTGAACCTACGAAGTGAAAATATAGCCTTGACACAGGCTCAGATACATGTACTAACCACACTTCAAGTTTCGAATAAACTATTCTAAATGACGGCGACCTCTAGAAGGCTTTCCTTTGTTGCGTCGAAGCACAGCGCCCTCAACTATCGTTGCATTACCCGTTAAAATTATAAAATAATTTGGATTCAATGTAACATTACGCTAAATATTACCATATATATATATATTTTGGCAAGGCTGTTACAACTATCATTTTGAGTTTCAGCGCAACTAGTGTGTTTAATAGTTACTTATGAGTAGATCAGGCAACTGATTAAAACTTGTAGATCTTATTCTTATTGAACTGAAGATGGTCTCGTTCGAGCCGATAAATTGCTTTAGTCTGATAGTATTTGTCGGTATCACTTCAGTACGTGGAGGATGTGCACTTTTTACATGATGACAGGCAGTGCAGTCATCGCGTAAAGGACCAAGAGTTATCGAGGCGAGCAGGTGGGCACTATGCTACACCTGTATTTGTTTTCTGAGACTGGATAACCTATCATCGTAGTCGAATTGACTCCAACCATTGTGTAAGACGTTTCGTGCCGAAAAGTTCGAAGGAACCTTTCGACAGGCGGCAAAATACTTTCGTTCAAAGCAACACAACCTTATTTTTTTCATCAAAGTATTTCTACAATATCTTATGTAATAACTCATCCATAGACTTGTTAAGGATGTTATATCAGTTCGCCTGCACATGCAATACCTTAACTTCAGTAAAATTGAGCTTCAGAATAAGGTTTCAGTGATCTATCAATCAATCAATCAATCAATCTGTATGGCATATTCGTTCATTCTTACCTTATACACAAAGCTGGCTCAGTCAACTTATTTAATCTAAAAGTATACTTAAAGCTTTAGTTAATCCCAAATCACTCTGACTCGGCCAGAAAAAAATTCCTATAACTAGTGAATTTTAGGGAAGGAAAACCTGACCAGATAGAACAAAACTGAAAACAGAAAATAACACAAGCCTTTGGAAATTCATAGGAGATAAGTAGATCTTGTCTCGACTTTGTTCGGTATAAAGCCACTCATTTACAATGAAAATCCTGTAAAGATCTCCAACCGGAATGATTAAACTATAATTCACCCATTTCTTCTGTTTTCTCAAAACAAAAACTCCGGATAGGAACGGGAAAGATCGAGAATGGCCAAATCGCGATCGAACTCTCTCACTGACCAAGAAATCAATAGATCTGCCTCCATCTCCCATTTATTTGAAAGCTAGCCTATACTTTTGTAGCTCACACACTGTACGTGAAGATGTTTCAGTGCCACGTACTTCCAAGCATTTTTGTTCTTCATCTCAACGTAATCTTAAAAACAATATATATCTATAAAGTAAACGATTTAAGTGAGAAAAATGCTATTTAGTTAAAGCCGTTTTTCAGTTTTAGTATCGATGGCAACTTACCTATGGCTCCGATTTGCCGACAAGAGTAGAAAGCTTCATTATGCATGGTTTTAAATAAGACCGTATAAAACGTTTAAAATCGCGATGCCCACCGTGGTTACCAAGCATCCTTGTAGTTTGTTAAAATGCGTTGCTCACTAGGTTTTTATAAAGGGTCTTGTAATCAACTCTAATTAAAACTTAGTTAAATGACTGAAATTTATATACATGATGTTTGTGTGCCCAGTAGGCAACTTACTAGCGAGACTATACTGTCTCAAACATGGTATTCTTTAAGACATGTTGTCCGCTTTCAGCATGGTCGAGAATATACGTGTGCTGATCACTGTGAACTTCCCAGTGACAACAAAGACACTATGCTAGCAAATCGCTATGCAGATAGTTTATGCATATATGTAGAGGCTCACCTGCTTCGTCTTTTGCTGTGGTGGGTTTGTTTGACGTGGGTCCGTGTTTCTAAAGCCGTTTACTGTTTTGCTATTTTCTTAACAACTTTTCAGACGTCCGGACGTTTGCAGACCATATTGGCATACGTTTGCCCGCTGAAGAGGATCTTCTTTGGATCGCCCGATGCGCTCTTACGGCAGCCGTACCACCTCCGTGGCTGCCTGTGGAAGACACGACTGCTGATCCGGGTGAGAACATACGAACGGCTTTTTCATATCCTTAAGCAAACTTTTCCGATACGTTAAGCCGTACGTTGACTTTACAGTGTGACCGACTGAATTTACTGACTTCCTTCGCGTGGAAATACTTGCGATTTTAGCGTGCATCTGTCCGTTTGCTACTATTATAGAAAGCGCAACCAGAGGTAAATTCTCGGGGGGTCCTAGAGCATTAATGAGTTTCTTTCTGTATACCCATCCATTTACTACGCGCCGCCATGGTCACTGAAATGAAGAATAAGCACTTGCATTTTTCTTTTTCAAGCTAAATACAGAAAGTACTGTTTGGTTAAATGTGTGTTCGAGGACTTTGAACTGACGAGGCTGTCCTTTAAGTTCTTCGTAGCTTATGCCTGCTTGTTTTTAAACGCTTTCATTTTTCACTGTTATAATTGCTTTACGAGTGCAGTTAGCTGAAGCTGCTGAAAACCAAGAAATAATTAAGGCGCCGCTTGATGATACCACCGTCTGGCCTGCCTATGCATATGACATAGTAAATATGTCCCCGTTCTACGTATCCAGCAGGCTTTCTTTCGTTATCGCTTTATCCTTAGAGTGGATCTATTCGATAGCATTCAGAAGTCGGGCGTCTTACTCTTAGATTAAGGTAACTCTGTGCATAAGCACACTGTCTATCTGGCAGCATGACCTAAGCATGGCCTTAGTCTGTTCCATCACATTGAATCGATGCTGTCACAATGTACCACACTCTGTTGTATTTAGCAATGTCCCTGAAACAGAGCGATCCTCCATACAGGTATTAATTCTTTAAACCCATGTCAGTTTATAAAAATTTCATTGACTAGTGAGTACCCTGTGATTTGGTGTTCATCTTGGCAGCCGCTCATAGACTAAACACTCGCTTTACAGCTGAACGTTTTAGACTGGTGTTTCAGGTGCTTCGCACTGCACCCAGATTACAAAGTTCACGCAAACAAAAAATGGCGGAACGTAGATCTTATTTTTTTTATAGTAAAAAAGAATCTGAAACTAATTTTGGGGTTAGGAAGTGTAATTCTAACGAAAATTTAGGTTTGTGTTTGCTTATTCAACTATGAAGTTGTGATCTATTTTTTATTGCCTTCGAAACATTTATGTTTGGCGTGTGCCTTTCTTTACTTTAAAAGAGATTTTTGTTTACCTATAGACGACGTAAGTTTTGCTTATCGTAATGTCGGCACCTACTCAATAGATATTTTCGAAAAAATATATATATATACGTCACGTGTAAGCCTATAAGTCATACGTCAGATAAGTTTACTCATCTGTTGTTCTTAACCGGACAATTTGCTTAACTCAGGTTCAATCTACTGGCATTGCCACGCAAAATTTTCAACATGATTTCAGCTCGAGTATACTACTACAATACGGTAACTGCGGAATCATGCTGGGAGCACCCGTTGGATGCTTACTACAAGATGTTCGTAAAACAGGAGAGATTCAAAATGGTGACGAAAGCTACAAGTCAGCGTCAGCAAAGGAATTCTGAGGACAGCGGTACTTCTCTGGTACGAGCGTTTTTTGTCCTTAAATTCAAATTAACGTTTTCTACGAAAGATATTATGGCTCCAAATTAACTTATCTACTTTATTTGTTGTATTATTGCATTATATTGCTACTGGTTATATAGAACATGGGGAATAAGTTGATCCACCTAAAGTGCGGACTATTTTCCCTGCAGTGAATATATCAGCAAGCATTAAGGTGGCTAGAAAACGCAAAAATTTATGTGAAATTAAATAAATTAGTTATAGTAAGACAACCAGACTGATATTCGCTTTAATTACAATTTTTTTAAACGTATTAATGTAGATGTCGTCTTTGGACGACGTCCCTCCACTTTCTGCGGCGATGTCCGCTAAGGAATCTGATAGCGTCTTCCATATGTCCCTACGACGACGCACAGCTTCACAACGAAGCCGAAGTCGCTCATGTCCTTCAGGTCTAAACCGTAAATCGCCAGGTGGACTTGGCGGACATAGTCCGGTCTGTGAAACTAATCAAGATGACGGCTCCAAACGAACGGGTGCTACTAGCGAAATCGCTTCGGAGAATCAGACGTCAACAGTCAAAATCAGGGAGGAAGCCTGTGTCATCAAGGTATTTCACATTCATTTATGGTTGCTTCTGTTTAGTACGAGCAATAACCATGCCTGTACTAGTTACATAAATCGATATGCAGCATTAACAGTTTACTTTAGGAACGTCATTGTAACACTTCAAATATGACCCATAACATTACAGGAGTTAACCTTGCAGAAGAAGCACTTGATGGCCGAGCTGAACAAGCTTAAAAATGAGGTCCGTAAATACCAGTTTATACGCGAGCGGATTAAGTTTTCACCGCAAAGCGAACTACCACTGGGAACAAAGGGCCTCAGTTCGCTCGGCTTTTCTACGCCGTTGCGGGCGCATAGTGCCTCTCAGACAGATGTCTCCATGGGAGGCATGGCCGTTCCTACCCAACCATCGCCACCGAAGGCACAGCCACGTGCCAACATCGGCAATAGAAAAACTTTCCTCTCATCAGCCACTACCACCTGGTAAATACGTGACAGATACAACATACACACACTAACAGACGCGAAAGTTATCATTTTGTTCCGGACACTAGTAATAACTTATTGAAATTAAGCGGGTTGTCCTTATGCTCCTCTCACTGCACTGACGGTTGTTAAGTACTTGTTTCGTTATAATCGTTTTCCTAAACCGTGTTACCTACAGAAGAAGGTCACGAAGTAAATACGAGCATCAGAACTTTAGCTTCTGACGTTCGTCCATAATGACGAGCGAACCATCATAGTTGTTAGCGTATTTCATGTAAGTTGAGATAATAAGAGATACTAAATTTTAATAGCATAAACGGCATTCGCATCAGGATAGAATAGTCATTAGATGAAACATTATTTGTACTCTATGTTACATAGTTTTTTTTTTTTTTTTTTTTATGTATATATAATAGGCTGTTACAAACACATCCGACGGACCTTGAAATTTAATAAATTTTAATCTGGCCAGGCTTAAAATATTGTTTAGATGTAAAATATTGTATATGTGTTAGAGATACTCTTTTTTTGTTTTTTGCACACTTGTCCTATCGCTTTGCCAGCCAGTATCTGAACAATCATACAGCTACTATTTACACTTTTATATGTATATGGCCCTATATATGGCTTCTAGAAGTAAATCAATACTGGCCTGCACTTACACACTGGTCGCTTTTTAGAGCATGGAAAGCCTTGTAATCTTCTGTACTTAGATCGAGAGAATAAGCTGGCTGACGTGGGTCTGGCGCACTCCCTATTGCCATGCGAACGATCCACAAGTCTCCTAAGAAACTCGAAATAGCTGGAAAATTCATTGTTTTATTTATTATTTCTTATTTATTATTGTCAGCGAGTACCCTATAGTAGGGGATGTCATTGCCAATAATTTTCTAGTCCTACCCTATTCGACACTGCGATTAAACTTGATTTTTCTTCAGAGCGACGGCATTTTCTCGCCAGGTACCCTTCGACTCGCGATTGAGACTGAGCTATACCTCGCCCGTGGCAACCATATGCTTTAGGTTGATACTTCGTTGCTTAGAGTTATATAAATTGGACGCGGAATACACCATCTATTTCAACTGGCCTAGAGTTAATTCACGCGGAACCTATTTTTTACTGGTATTTGGTGACCATGCTGTAACGTGTTACATGTAAAACACCAATTTTTGGCCGACGGGACCCTTAGACCGCCTTCTTTCGCTTTCCTAAAATGCCTTTTTGATTATAACAATTTTGAGTGTGGTCTTGTCCTTTGGGTGCCTACACCTGGTCAGCTGCCAAATAATCTTCAACATTTAAATTTCGTCCTTGAAGCGATTGTGCGATTCACATTTAAGGCCCCCTTGTCTAATATCTTTGTCGGCCTTTGATGAAATTTCGTAACGCTGTGACCTTCGACGAACAAAAACTTCGCCACTAAGCGCTGGCGTTCGAAACTAAAAGATGTATTTCCTTTTGAACTCATTTCTTCTGGACTAAACTCAACGGGTTTTTCACTCACCAGTTTCCAGAACACTGGAATATTTACCAGTCAAAGTTTGTCTGCTAGTTACGTGCAATTTAAAGGATATTCAGTTTTAAAATCCGCCGGATTCGCTTGTAACAAACAGCTTAATATATACATACATGTGTTTAGCCGTAGTATTACTAGCACACTTCTGAAAGCATGATTCCCTATTCTCACTATAAGACGATAATTTTCGTTGTCTTCTACAACTAATTTAACCGTCTTTGTTATCACCTTTTTATCGTTGCCCTATGCTTTCATTACTTTGCAATCGCACCAAAGTAGTTCTCCACTTTTGGCTTATTCGACTTTGCCTACGACAAAGCAGGAACATGAAGCCAGAGTATCTCACGACGATCTACTTCGAATCAGCGAGAGAGTCGACCAACTTAGACAACGACATCATGAAATCGCTTTGAAAGCGGTTCAAGAACTTATTGAGGATCCACCAATCGCTGCGTTAGTATACACGATTTAGTTGAATCTCATATTCGTTTCTTATCTTATATAGAAGTAGCATCGGTGGCTGAAGTCAAATTTGAGGCAGACTTATTAAGTTAAAGAATAAAGGTTTGAATTAGAATAGAACACAGCTCACACGATTCAAAATATGCCTGCGAGCAATACTTTAATTCTACTCGCCTCACATAGGCATGATACTATGATGAGCCTTCTCGCTGGTATTGACAGCGCCGCCTCTCACGTCACGAGATTCACTTTTGACTCAAAGACCCAGATACTGAAAGAGTCCATTTCGTCTATATATATATATATATATTCCGACGATCGCCTCGTATTTTTTTGATATCGTAATTAACACATACAGCGTCGAGAGGATACCTATAGTTCGAAATCGTACACAGTTTTAGACCAAACTATACACTGCATCAGAACATGTATCGGAACGACACTTGCGATAAATATTTCTTGCAAAAAATAGATAAATGTTTACGAAAATCTACCGTGTCGGAGCGTTGCCTTCTGCGAGCTTGATCTTACTGAAAACTTTCAAAATATTAGTACAGGTATCCGTGGTGTTCTCCTGAAAGCAAATAACAAATAGGCAAAATGGACGAAATTGAAGGTGGATTCGTTCCTTCTGAAATGACATTTGATTTTTCGTTGTGTCTATTTATTCCATTGCAGCGAGTTGCTTCAAAGTAGTCACAATATGCCGCCTCTGCCAAGCTACCCAATTCAGACAAGCAACCCACTGCCCGAGCCCCCGCGAGACTTTCGGTCGTCAGCGAATCATCACGGGGCACCGCCACCACTCGTTCCACCCCATATGTCAAACGTGTCCAATGTTCATCCCGTAGGCCCCATTGGGTCGCTACCCGCCTCTTTAAGTGAAGGTCCATCGAGAGTCGTGGCTCCGTCTGGAGCTGGCCCTCAACAAATGACTTCACAGGAAGAGTGGGTTCGGCGCCTAGTTAAACTTCGCTGTGGAATCAATGAATGTAAGCTTAAGCAGCTTGCAATTAAGTAATAAATATCAGCAATGCTCGGCTTGACGACGTCGAATTTCACGAGTAGCCACATCGTTTATGATGTATGACGTCTATGACGTACCGAATCGACCTTATAGATCGCGTGAAATCTTTCGTATCACATCTGCGAACAATGGCGCGTCAGAAACTCACTGGAATCGAAAAACTGACGAGATATTTGAAAGATTTGAAGCGAGGGTGAAGGCGAAGGATCAATGCCATTGAAGGTTTACTAGTGGCCCGTAATGTATTATTAGGCTGTCTGTCAGTTGAATCTTAATGAATGAATATTGCAGTACATAGAAGATATATACCGCTCCATTTTCCCTTGTGCGTAGAAGACGTCGAAGGCGAGAGAAGTGAAAATCAGGATTGTGTCAATATCGATCGAACAAATTTTGCTAGTTGTTGAGCATTGTTAGGTGTGATTTGCCTGAAGATGAAAGGGAACTTGTATGTTCACGTGACGCTGATGATGAAAGCAGACATCATCGTTCTGATTGCAATAACTGTACAACACTATTCAGATTGACTTAATAATGTAAAATTGCTTGATTTACCACTTTACGAAGGAATTTTTCCGTCCCTGCGTTTAGTTGGTGTTTTACCATGGCCTAAAATGGGTGCTGACCGCTCACATAAGCGGACTATCAGAAAGATCCGTTTTTTTGTTGTTTCCCCGTGGGCAGGCACACGCGTTAAGATCACTAAAGCCTATTACAAGTGCAAGTTAACGCACTGGATTTTCTAGCCGTTGGGTTAAACTGTGTACCCTATGTAACCGTTGTGCTGATCAGAAGGGCAAGTCGTGGTCTGTCGGACCCAGGTAACTCTTAAATAGATATAATACTTGTGTCACACGCGCCAACGTACGAACTACCATACCGAACTAATGTTAAAGGGCGATTAACGTTTGCTTAATAAATGCAACAACAACAAGGACTAGGACACAGTGCATGAAGCTAATTCAGCTAATCAACCAAAGAGGTTTAAGCGTGGTAAAAAGTGCGAGTCCGCGAAACTTGTTCAATCGGGAATAGGCCAACATTGCAAAAACAATCTATACGGGGAAAGATATATGCTGCTTTGCAATATGCATATATATATATATATATATATATAGATTATATACGTTCATAATTCTGAAAAGCTTAATAGTGAGACATATATAAATACCGCTATCTGCATATACTTAGGCAAATATTCGGGTAAATTGATATGCAAGTAAACGTAACTAAAGAAGTACCGTTTATCGATATGAAGTGGCTACTAAGAGAGCTATTATTTCTCTTGATTTAGCAAAAAAATAACAAATCGTTTGCCTGTGGACCCGCTAAAGACGCAATGTGGACTTCCATTTCAATGAATCACTCATGTATCAATAATAGGAACAGAGTCATACAAATGAAGAGCAATCACTGTTTCCCTCAAGATTCTTACTAGAAAACTCACACTTGTTATTATGAACGCCGTTAAATATATTAAAGTCTATTGTAAACATTACATATTCTCATTGAGCTAACAACTGATACGACGCAGCTCTACAACTCGTACCTCCGATAAATTTAATGTACAGGGCGGACCTTTATTTTTGTTTTTGTTTTCGTTATTATCTAATGGCTAGCGCTTAGCCAAACGAAGAAGCAATAATACATTAACGACTTAATGTCGCCTTTCCATTGAATTTTCAACAAATAGGTAAGTTCCATTGCATAATTTCATGCACTTCTGTAGTCTTGCGCAGGTGCACAAGATAGAATGTTCAAATGGTTATCAATTATTTTTAAGATCAGGTCATGATAAATAAGACAATTCCCTGGACAACTTAACCTTCCTAGTAACTAAAGAAAACACTGACAAGTTACAAGGCGATCTTAATAAGTTGCTCAACGACATCGGAGACGACTATCATACATGTGGCACATATACATATATAAAGCTTCCACAGAACGTACGATTTTTTCATATATCTAGAAGATAGGTTCTAATATTTCCTCTAAAATTGGTTCGAAATTGGTGTAGCTAAAGAGGGGTGTAGTAATTTAAATATTTCTCTAAAGAACTTGGTCTGCTAATTTAGTGGGAGGGGCAACGTAAGATCTCGTCAATATTTGGATCATTCTCCGCGCAGAAGTTCTGGAACCAAAAAGAAGCGCAGAAAGTTTACCTCAATTACCTTTCTAACTTGGTGTTAATTGCCCTAACTACATTGTAGCATTCATATCATCAACGAAATTTTCCCATAACGTGTGTGTATGTTCTTAATAGTGACATTCATTAGCGATGTTTTCGTCAGTTTCACTCGTTCCCAATACGTTTTACCGCTACTGAATTTCAAGGTTATCCCTTAAAGTTACTAACTAAGCTAACTGCTGGTCTACTCAGATAATCATAGAATTTTTACGAGGTTTCCTTTGTTTTTCATGGTTTGTTTGAGGTTGTATAATGGGATATTCCGGTGGAAGTTGCGACTAGTGAGGTGCAAATGGAGCGACTGTAGGAGCATTTTACGGTTAACGTTATTGACCCGGTTGTATCACTTTATTATCGCAGGAACCAGCGCTTGGCATAGGTACTTGAAGAAATGGCGCCAATGCTAGAGTCTTATCTGTACACTGATGTATGCATAGCTACGTGTGGGCGGGTGGCTGGGTGTATTAGACTGGGCATGTGCGATCTTATTTTATTTACTGCACTCCTCGAAAGTACAGATAATAATTATCCAAGCGCACTACTCGAATCAATTGTTACATATATGTAAATGATCAATGGTGTAGAAGCAATTTCCTTTATTATTATTATTATAATTTTGTATCCATCTAAGCTCTTTATATGTGTCCTGTTCGATACTTACTTAAGCTACTACTGTTTTCAGGATTGCAAGGATATACCGACTGCCAAACTTAACGGTCTCTAATTGTCACTGTCCTTCGAAATGCATTAATAATTTAGATTCAAATAAACATTGAGTAAAGGTACTTTGACATTTTTTTTCCAATTTCCACGGCCCTTTTGCTGGAAACATTGAGGATGTTTTTTTTTGCTGGATACAAGATTACGATGATATTTTCACTAGCAGTCTCTCACGAGTTTCTTCTACTGTATTAATATGTTCTCTTTCTACATTTTCGAAGATATCACTGGACTACTTCTCCCACACTAAGACCCAGTTGAAACGGTCGACTCCACCAATCTGAGGGGCATTGATGCCTTCATGCCTTTTGACGAAAAAGTTTACAAAGATCCTAATAAATTGACAATTATGAGAGAATAATTTAAATAACAATGTTATTAAACGCCTGGATACCGTATTTGTAGATTATATTGTCCGTGGACGCATCAAGGACTGTTCCCTCGTTTGACATGGCTTTTTTTCTTTTTCTTTTAAACGGATAGTAAAATGCATTTACTTATATCTAGGTGTGTCCTGAATGATGTAGCTTCCCTTTCCGACAATCCCCACAAGGTCCACTAAACGCGATAAGCTTCTGTCCTTTTACAGTCGACAAATACAAACGGCTACCACGTTAATGTTGTGAATACCATTCACCGGCAATTTGACTACAGTGAAATTGAATAGTAAGTTTGTAGTTGGCAATTAAATTCTGATTTGATGCCAACCTGTAAACTTTCAACTTTGCTAACCCATAAATATAATAAATGTCATTTTCCCATTGTAAAAATATATATATATATATATATATTGATAGAAAATAATGAGAGATAACGGCTGAGCAGAAATTTAATCTTAAAATGGTGGTCATACAATGTCTCTGATGCATTTCCGTAAAGCATATATACTTAGAAGTAATTATGAGCAACAATAATGATCCTAGATTCGATGAGATAATTCAATGAGCCTACAATAACGTATCTGTTTACCAAAAACGATTTTTTCATTTAAAACTATATAGAGTAGGTCACGTACAAGTACTTGATATGGAGTGCTAAGTTATAACGAATTAAACAATGAAATAAATTCACGGTCACCTATGATATACATGTGTTATTTCTATTCCATCGGTAATAGTTTCCAATACAATACATGTAATTGTCATTGTTGAGAATTGACCAGCTCTAGCTAACGTTGGCTTTGATGAATGGACGTCGTAAGGCCATATTAAATTTAAGAAAAATTTACGTCTACAATGAGCGACTTCTAAGTGTCCTAGGAACAACACACTGTCGTCCAGGTTCGAGCCAGGGCACAGACAAACAGGCTTCGTTTTGTGCTGGGAGCCAGCGGGCCGTTTGATGGAATGCCTAGGCGATATCAGACGTAAAACTCGAACCGTAAAGTCTTGTGGATGCTGTGGTGACTTTTCAGCCCTTGCGGTGGCCTGCGTCCCTAAAAGGCTGTTCTTATCAAGAGCAGTTTTCTACAGTGATGGAGGAAATGTTGCTGCTTCATTCCGTTTTTCGCGGTTGCCATCTAGTATTAAGAGCGACATGAGTTGCGCGTTCAAAATATTTTTAGACGTCCTTCTTGTAACTCGTCTACACGCTCAGACCTGGTGAGGTGCGGTCCCCTTGAGAAAATGGGATGAGGACGGAAAAAGCGAAGGAAGAAAGAAATCACCTGAAGCTCATTTGATGTCATGCAAATGACATAGAGGAACTTGCTACAATGTGAAATATCAGGTCGTTAGAGGCTTCATAAGGAGGAAAGAGATGTTTCCTAGAAGAGGGCGAAACGGTATTAACTTCGGCCAAACATGTAGGGACGCGCGGCTAAGAAATCAGACGCTCGCATCTCGTCGATGCTATACCTTTTTCTAGCGCCAGAAACTGCGAGGCACTTTTGGCTGAACGTTAGCCGAAAGGAAGTTTTTAAATTGAAAAGAACTTGTGAACCGTGCGAAATTAGATAATCTAAAGTGTATATGACTAGTGCCTGCACGTAATTATCAAAATGACGTATAGGAATCCTTTCGCGCGTCGAATATAATTTAAAACTTATTAAAATTCCGCACGCTTCTTTCAAAAGAACACTATAATAGTTCTTTGTCAAAGCGATGCGGGACAATACCCTGAATTTCCACCTAACGAGATTAGTGCATCTCGCAGTAGCTAATAGTCGTAAAATAATGGCATAGAAGTAACAAAAAATAGAAGTAAGCCTATAACTAGAGTATTCATCTAATAAAGCTTCATTTACTATCGAAAATAACAGTAGCTTTCGCTTTGGAAGTTGGCTGACGGTAGAGAAGCATTGCTATTATATGTGCCTAAGCGTCATTTTCTCATTTCTTACATAGAACAGAAAAACATTTTGCTCCTACGTCGGCTCATTTCTTGATGAAGCTCAGTTATAGTGTATTATGTGGGACCGTCTTTATTGACACAATGACGCGTATTAAACCGCTGCTTGCCTCAGATTGTCATCCACGCAGTCTCATTCTTAACCAGCAATCAGAACTTAATTATATCGACAGCCACGACAACTTAACAGTGTCGATTGCCTCGCGTGAGCCAATACATAGCAGGACAGCAGGAGTATGTGTTATTAGAAAAAGGCCAGTTGAATTATGCTCGTTTTAAAAAAAAGCCGGTGTTATGTTTGAAAGGACACGAAGACTATATTACAATAATTCGTCGATGAAGAGACTGATACTAGGCAAAAGAGTAGTAGTTCGGTGGGTTGAGTCTTAATAAGGGCCAAGCAGTTCTTTCAATCGACGGAAAAAACGGTTCGCGTTTACGGGAAAACATTGAGACTTTGGCTCGTTTGCCACCTATTCGTTTTGTCACGAAACGTTCAACAGCGCTGTTTCACATCTACAGAGCGTATACAGAACCAGATGATATGTGTGTAGCTTCGTAATGATCAAGGAGCACTTATCGTCGGTAAATGTCATCCCCCGGTGTTCTTGTTTCTTTACTTTATAATCAATAGTTAGTCTGTCATTTACTCGAATATGTGAATTTCCCCTCCCACCGTAGGGCATTTTCACTCAGATTCTCCCTATGGATTGTTTCCTTCATTCGTGACTGAGCTGCGATGCTGTGATCTGACAAGATGAAAGAAATAGGATCGCACTATTAACCAGTCTAGCTTAATCTGAAGGTTGCAGTACAGCAATGTAATAGTGCGCTTAGCTGGTTGACCGCGTGTCAACGGTCCCGCTCCCCGTCCACCTGCTGCTTGGTCGCGTAGAAGTTATATCGTGCGTTTACGCTTGTGCCATTATTTGTTGCTACATGCTATTTCATTTAGTTCTCCTCCTCCTCCTCCTCCTCCTCCTCCTCCTCCTCCTCCTTCTCCCCTCCCCCCCACCCCTTCTTTTCCTCCTCGTTTTTCTAATTTTGTTTCGTAGTTTTCATCGTTCGATACTCGCTCGGCGGCTCGTGGTCGACCGTTCGCCCGCTTGTGAACCCGTCGAAGCGATCCGACCTGACGGCCCAATTCGTATCTTCCAAACCGCCCATAGATATCGCTCTTGCGCAGATCATTCATTTCGTTGTCAGAAATCTGGTGATGGCAAGCACAGCGCCGTCTACTGGGTTGTCCGAACAGTCGATTGGCAGATCCAGCCTCACTGTGTGTCTTCGAAGCGTCGAAGAAGTACCGCACTGCTGTGTTGATTCTGTAGCGACTACTGCTGCCGCTGCCGCTGCTGCTGTCTGTTGGCAGAGTGGCTGGTGATTGTCTGACGACTACGCTCTATCTGTGTGTCAACGATACACGTTACCATTTCCACTACTGACATACTTCTCCGCTGGCCTCATTACAGCTACTAGAGCCCCGCGTCGGCGGCACGCCACAAACAACGGTGTCGCGTCGCTTTGGGTTGCCAACTCTCAACGAAATCCGCCTTCCACCATATTTCGGCACCTGTATCGTCTCATTTGACAACGACTTCGACGGCCAACAGACAGGAAAGCACGGGATCGAGTATGCAAATAAGAACGAGTCTAAGCATCTTTCAAAGTTAGTTTTCTAACATATCGTGTCATTTGGTCTACCCAAAGCCAATTGCTGATGTGCGTACAGGCGGTTCTGCTTATCTGTTCGTTGCAGCGGCTAGTGCCATTAGTGTCAAGTTATGCTAGACATTTCCGGCTCCCGGGCCTCGAACATTGGCTAAAAGCGAGTTCGTTCAACTCGTTATCCGATAACAGTGTGCCCCCTTGTTTCTGCTTAACCCATTTTCTTTCTAAATAGATGAATAATATCAAATCATTCAACTAATAATTACGTTTCTTCTCGACGTGGACGATTTTTGTTGAATCGAATATCAAGCTAACAGTGAAATGAACATAAATAGCTTACAGGGAACTACATGTGAAAAAAATTCAAAGAGTCAAAGGTTGTGGCTTCGTTCATGTACAGAGACCGGTCAAACCGAATAGAGAAGAAGTATGAGAATACGGGCGCCGCAAAACACTTGTCATCTTTGCGTTTGCGCCCTTAGCTCTACCTTCATCAAGTCATAGTCGGTTCCGTGTAGTACTTGTCGAAGGATCTTCATTCTTCCCAGACACACGCGAACAACCAGACGACCGAGACATTGCGGGCACCAGACCCTCGCCTCGATGACGATACAAGCTAAAGGCAGGCCTGACGCTTTCCTCCTTTCACTCATACACGGCGCACCCGCTACGCCAATAGCGTAGCGCCACTGGAGCAGTAATAACCGCCAAAGCCGCATAATAACGGTGACTTGTAGTAAAAATAGTAGTGCTAATTGTTGTAGTATTACTGTTGCTGCTACAACCCGCAGAAGGCCCGCGAAGAAGGCCCGCGAATACGGTGCCCGACACCATCTGTACCAGCTGCTGGCATCAATCGCCCACCACTATCCAGTGCTGCCAGACGCCAGACGCAACGACCACCGCATTTATTCACTTTTCCATATGAGAACTCGCTTTCGTCTTTGTTGCTTCCTTTCTGTCTCGTTCCCCTAGTATCGGCGGGCCTCGTTGCCGTCGACAACGGCAACGGCAACGGCGGCAGCGTATATCGGATAACGGCGTACCCCTCTAGGCCAGTTGGATGCGAAATAGAGGCCATGAAGATGCCGTAGCTTCGCACAGTAGAAAGTTCTCTGTTTTTATCTCTTGTTAGGATGGCTTTTAGGGCCATTTTGAACAACAAGTGAGAGTAGTCCTGTAGACTGTCTGGTTTTACGTGTTCTTCATCGGCTCAGCACTGTGGAATGTTGAATTGTGAACTTAATTGAGTAAGTGAGTGCATTCCGAGTGTTTCATCTGGATATCCCTTGACGTTCGGCGACGATAGTGGTCGTAGGAAACACAAACACAGGAAAATATCTATTATACAGAAACTACGGGAGAAACTCCTAATCATCTAAGTAGATTCAATCACTCAAGAAGGTAAATCTTAATTGTCAGCGTTTACCATTCAGAAAATGCTTCAGGGTTAAAAAGCTACGAACGGCAATTAGAACACGACATCAATCAGTGGTTGCGAAAAAAACCATCGTGTATGATAAGTAAATATAACGCTGACTAGTGCCAAGGACTCAGTGTGCTATTTAGACGTGCAAAGATTAACGTGTTATTATCAGGCTATAAATGGAATAAGTAAAAGATAATGTGCTTCGATACTTTAATGCATGACCTAAGATCTGCCTTGTCAACAGACCTATTTTAGGACAAGACAGAGGGACTATAAACCTACTCATAGATGCCCGTACGCCAGATCACTGAAAGGAGCGCATGAGCTAATTTAAACGGTGTACACATTGAAATTCAGTAGCGTTTTTGTCTTTCCGATTTAGCAAAGTGCTCATACCACGTGAGAATAGAATACATTGTTAACAATTGTGTCGTATTCGCAAGACAATTAAAGACTACCGAATAATTTAGTAATCTTACAACTTGGTGAAGAGGTTGAACTTTACATTGTAACTTAGGATTTAAAATGTATTTTTTAAAAATCGATACTTTTATATTCTGTTTTTGAATTTCCTACTTGACAGTCGTACAGGTTTAACATCATTGTTGCAAGGAACGATGGGACACATGATCCAGAGCTCCTTTTATTGTTGTTATTTCTTTAACATTATGTAATTTGTATAAGCACAACAGAGGACGCTCACTTTCGGAACAAAATCGAAGTGCCTTTTACTACGAAAATGTTTAATTTTATAGGAAGCCTTGTAAAAAAAAAAGAAACAAAAAAAACAGCTACTAGGTATCACTGGGCAAAGCATTCATCTAAAAGAAGAGATTTGTCAAAGGTTCTTAATTTCGAACGTTTTCTAAGGCTCAGCCGCTAGCAAAAACGTATGATTGCGAGGTTCGATTATATGAAGAACTTTCAAGGTGGACTACTTCGTTTGTGAGTATTTTCTTTCCTCATATTTAACTCGTAATAGGCGGTCCAAGAATCATTATTATCATCATTTACATTACAGCAGATCAAGGGACAGTAAACATTTCCAAAACATCACTCGAATATATCAATGTCATAAAGTATATGCATACGTATGCCGAAACAAATTGTGTTCTACATGTCGAGTTTTGTTAGTCTTAGCTGAACTAATGCATGAAGGCAGGGATAAATACGCATACAGCTTTGCTGATTGTTTTAAGTTTTTGTAACGTTCAACTTAAAGCAGTGTCGAGCGCCGTTCTCGGTCCAGGCATCTCGCAGCGTATAGCCCCTTAAAACTCATGTTTGAGCGCTCCTTCGAGCAGAACGCGTTAGCAGCGTACCGATGTAAAGTCCCTTTAATAAACAGATTCTACAGACGAGCGGCTAGATATCTGACGCAAGCGAAACCTCTGCAAAGAGCTCAACAACACTACCCTTTAAGCGCCTACATTTGCCTCATGTCGTCCGTTTCTTTTCAACACATCCAGCTGCAGATGGCTAACCTTATGACATATTTTTCAAAGCTTAAGATTAGTATGTTAAGGAGTAAGTACTTTTTATTGATCACAGCAACAGTATTTACGACCTGCTCATAATCAGACGGATCCGTAGTCGCGCTCTTTCACTGAAGTTCTCATGCGATAAGCAGATATAGATAATTCAATTTTTGTGCAGATGTGAGAAACTCTTCTCTAACTTCTGAAAGGCATACCCATTGGACTTACAGTAACATTGAGCGTTTTTATTTAATAGTAGCCCCTGACCGCGCTGTGGATGTATTTCATCTGGCGCGTTTATTATATAACTTTGTATTTTTATTTATTCGGTTCCCCTCGACCCTTATCGGCAAAGGACTGCTCATGAGCTAAGCACAACATTTGCATTTGTTGGTAAAGCAAATACGGAAAAGCTGTCGCATGAGAGTGTGGACTCTTAGCTAGATTAAATCATAATACTAAAAATGTAAAAGCACTTTCATAAAAACCGATGGCAACAGAGACGTTCATCATGTTAATCGTGACACATTGAAACCTGCAATATTAGCAATGTTAAAACTGACACGCGGCCCGTCCCACAAAGCTTTCTCATGCTTACGAAAAAAAAAAAAAAAAAAAAAGGTAGTAACGAAAATTCGTTACAAATCGTATTCGAGCAGTGAAGGTATTTCATGTGTTTTCTATTTTCACGAAAGGTGCTGAAAAAAAAGCCTGCTTAACTTAGTTGCGAACTAGGAATTATGCGTTGGGGAAAATTCGTTGTGTTTAGGGATTAGATAGACATTGTAATGAAAATATTTAAAATGGACCCTGACAGGCCCGCTATCAGAGCCTTCCGCATCTCGAAAAAGTACCTTGGCAGATAACTAATGCTAATAGTAGGTATATCTATATAGGATGTGTGCGATATGTATGCTTTAGGGTATTAGACGAACGTTGTGACATCTCCTACTGGTTTTGAAACGGCTTTTGCGCTGATATGACGCTGGGGTTATCTTAATAAAGAAAATTTCCTGGACGAGGTTTTGATGTGGGGATTTTAAAAAACGAAATTGTTCGCTAGCTTGAATGTCTGCGTAAAATGCGTTTTCTACTAACTAAAAAAGACATTCAAAGTGGTAAGGTAAAAACAATGGTATGACACGTTATATTAGATCTAATTGCGAGAAGATGCTAATTGTTCCGGCAAGATAATCTGAACTCAGGCTAAATATGAAGGCTTTCGTAGACATGTCTTTGTCGAGTTTGACAAAATGACGGATTAAAAGCCACTATATATTTCCTAACTGTGTTAAGAGCTCTCGTAACATTATGAAGAAGCGCATATAAGTATACAAATACATCAGTATCTGTCTCCGGAACCGGCAGCATAACCGTACGACTGACTTTAATATTTCAAACAGTGAAGCTATTCAACTGAGTGAATAACATCTGCTTCGTTTATTATTATTATGTAATCGCATCGGATAGGATGTTTTTTTTTTATAAAAAAATTACCCGTTCCTAAGAAATTCACCGTCAACATTTTTCGGCGATAGGCGTCTACTGAACTCCATTCACCAGCGTAATCAACGGGTCTATCACCGCTGCAACAATATATAACCAAATCAGGCTTTTTAATAATGTAATCACTTGTACTGGAATCCATTAAAGCTAAGCATAAGTACTAGTGTTCGAAGTTCTAAAATATAGCCATTTAAACAATTCTCTTCTAATCAGTCGAGACTTGGGTTAAAATTTTGCATATTTCACCTCTATACATTTTCTAGTTTCAGGTTTTACACGGAAAAGGAACGAATTGCACGCCCGTTTTAGGCCAGCCAAACGATGGCTTCACCTCCTCCATTGCCATGCAGCCTACCTCCGTGCAGTCCGTCACCCGCACAGGCGTCCTTGCCTCAGGTAGAATTACCCTAAAGTTTGCCATACACTGTCGCCGTTGATAGCAAAAATCTAGACGATATGGTAAATCAGGGTGTGTCTACTTCTAGCTATTTTACCTCTTTTCACTTCGTGAAGCGTCAGATAGAAGCCTGAACGATTACCCTTGGCCGAACATGCAGCAATGCCAATCTCAGACAGAGACAGAGACAGAGCTCCTTTTTCCCGCTTCTAGCCAGCCTTCCCTTGCGTCCGAGCTGGCTGAGATTCAGGCCCAAATTAGATGTTCTTTCATTGCTGATAGAGCGCAAAGTATCTCTACGTAAGTCTGTGCCTGTATGCGCCAATCGCAATCACGAATGTTATAGAATTAGAGAGAAAGCAAAGGTGGGGCGATGACTAGGGAAAGCATACTGAGGGATTCACACCTAATAGCGCCGATCGTAAGATTACAATGCAATGATGCTCTGAAGATCAGCGGATCACTTTCGTTTCGGACAGTAGTAGTAAACTCGCAAGAAGGGATTACATACATATAGCTTGCACTTTGCAACTGCGGTTGGTCCTATAGTTTTGAGATAAAACCTTAAGCTCCTGCTCTGGCTGTCCTCGTGAATACTTGCCCCGTCCATCTGTTATTGGTTTCCAAACAATGCTCGTGTTTATGTACAGATAAGTAATGTTTATTGAAAAGAGAATAACAATGCATTTCCAAATTATTGTGTTGCATTTTAAGCACAGCACTAACTTTAAAAAACATCGAATAGTAGATAATACGTTTCGTTTGTGCATAATGGCGCAAAACAATTATATAGGATTTTGCTCATATGATTACTAAAAGTCACTTCATTGAAAAGGCTTATGGCGAACTAGGATGGCATAGATATACAGCATAATCCATCAAATGTGTAGATAAACTGGTTGCCGTAAAAGACACGAGCACCGTTTAAGATCGCTACACGGATACCGCTTCTTCTATGAAGTCTATTCGTTCATTCATACCTCTGCTCTTTCATTGTGCTCGTATACATACTCGTATGTACCTATGAGAGAAGATTATTATATATAATCAACATTATATATATGAGGGCTGTTAAAAAATAGTTTTTATCGTTGGCGAGTGTGTGAACAACGACCGGCTGTGCCCGTATATGAACATGGACCTTTTGTGGGCACACATAAAAAACGTGCTTAGTTTAACAATTAGTGCAGATATGTATTAAATTTTTCGTTTCTGGGTCATCTATTGTTCGTTAACTTTTGGGCCTCTTCCGGTATTGATCGACAATTAAAGTAAAGCACCGGAAGCAAATGAATCAAACGAAGTGGGCGGTAAGGCAATGAGCGAAGCCTTTGTTATAGACGTACGCAAAATCAGATCGAAGTTCATTAGTGACTAAATAAAACAGGGAATCAGGAGAAAAAAACTTCGGTCAGAATGCTAGTCAATTGCCTTTAGCTGAACTCAGGCGGATTAGTCTTCCTCAGAGACTTGCTTGGAGCTATAAAATTTAAAAGATTGTTAAAGATATGAACCGTTGATCTTTTAACTTTTCTAAAAAAGCGTCCATGCGTATTTAGTGACGAGCAGAAAAGAAAAATATTTATAAAATTTAGCTAAGTATGTATCTACGTAAACTATTTGCGTTTGAATATAGTACGCTTCTGTGCTATATGGTTGTTTATGATTGTTCGGCCTAATTATGTTTGTTAACACTTTACGTTTGTTAAATGGAAAATATTGCCGCAATAGAAATAGAAACCAGAGTGCTTCACTCGACATACCCGATTAGCACTCACCTAGAAAAGATCCAAGGGGAGCGTGAACGGAGATACTGAAGCTCGACATTCCGTCACCTGTTTAAACCTAAACACAAAAGGCGTGCCGGTCTTGATCCTTGCGCGCCGCAATATGGCGGTAGCCACTAGCAACGAGCAAAGCCTGATTTTGGTCAAAGGTTTCCTCTCTTTATTGGTGCTTTCCGACTAAGGACTAAATAAATTAGTCGAAAGTCGCTTGATAACGCCGTACATCATGAAATCAGTAACACAAAAATTTGATGCCAACAAACGATGAAACCATAGTAATTTGTAAGGGTCATTCGAATGTTCGTATCAGTACGGCAGCATATCAATGTAGTTTAGACCTTAAGGCGTTTAGAGTAACGCCCGCGTTTAAAAAGGCCACTGCGAAGCCGTCAAAATCTAATCCGGTAGCTCGAAAAGCCATAGCCTACATCACTGAAAAAATATCATAGGTAACTCTTTAGATCTTCCCTGCGTAGGCTTCCTCCCCAGAGGCCTTGCATTAGACCCAACGCGTTAAGCATTCTCGATAAAGATAGTCTGCAGGTAATCTAGGTGCATGCGTTTACTTTCAAAGGATCGAGTGAATACATCTTCGAAAACGACAGTAAATAACATACCCCATTGCCTCAATATACAGATAAACTTCAGCCTTGAAATGTACAGTTCTAGTCTTTAACGAAAGCATACCTTCGTAACAATTCAATGGAGCTAAAATATATATGGAGTTCGGGGTTATAGTAAAGTTGGAAGGGAAAACAGTTTGATATTAGAACATATAACACTATTTTATCCAGGGGTTTCATCGTCAAGAGCCCCCCGACTTTTTCAGCTGCTTAGCTTTTCATAGTAACATATTACTGGATTGTTTGCTTTGGATTGAAGTTTAGGAGGTTTTCTATTGCTTCGAAAATTGACTTGCTTTCATAAATATGGTACAAGTAGCGTCACTTACGTAAAATATTGATGTCTCTGAAAAGGCGCAAGCGAAACTTCTAAAACAACCACTGGCACTTGTATTTCACGCAAGAACGTTTTTTCTTAAAGCTATTAACATTGTGTAGACAGGCTGACCTGTTTTAACACAAAAATTCTAGCTGAATTATTGTCATATATATATATATATGTATTGACGTTTTTCAAGTAGAAGTAGTCTTTGTTTGATTCGATAAGTATGATCTCGAAAAGCACAGTGTTGTAGTGAGGATTACGAGGTAGTTTTTGCAAAATCTGCAATCTGACACAGACCATCCTGAGATACCTTCCTTTGCTAATTTCGCACAGAAGAAACTTAATGCCAGTCAAACTTATGCCGGCCCTCATGTTATAGGTAAACGTTCCAACGACTTCAACGCGTCCAGCTGCGAAAAATCTTTTCCGTCGTATCCCAGTTCCGCGATTTGCCGTCCGTCTAAATCGAGTCCAGGGATCGTGCACACTTCAAAACGCTGTTCTTTGCATTGGAATACTAAGCATCGTAAGTTATATACTCTCGTCTCCTTTTACAAGTCCCAGTAATTAACAAATCAGGAATATAAGAATGACCGAAAGCCTCAAGCGTTTTAGTTTGACCTATCCCGTTAGAAGCTTCAATGCGTTCCGACTGGCCGGAGAAAGACGCTCGGTCAGCGTAACAAACAATCGGAAACATCCAAAAAAACTATTCCGCCGCCATAATTTCGCAATCATATAGCTGTGGTGTTTGTTAAAGATAGGTTTTGGCGAACTGTAAATAACTGAGCATTTTTTAAGTGGACTTTTCAGTTACTCACATTATTATATACTCAATATATAATATGCACTGAAATGGTTTGGTACGATTTGAGCACGAGCATGAGACTTTAAGTGTAACACTTATTCCCTGAGTATACGCAATAGTTTTGATGGGAAGAAATCACTGATGCAGCCCTTTGTTGCTAGAGATTTTGCTGAAAGATTTTTTTTTAGCTCTGGTCGTAATAATAATAAGAAACATCTCGAGCATGCGCGGTTACGTTTTTCCGTCTTTATAAATATACCCATTGATAAACCTTAAAAATAAGTGTAATTTAAATTTGATTAAATCGGCGCTACTATTCTTGTAAATATAGTCATAACTTTTTCTAGGAACTTCTTTATCCTTTGCAACGATTTTTCGATTCCATATTGACTTTGCAGATGCCAATAACTGGCTTACTTTCAGAGTGCTGGCCATTTATACGAAGTCTGAGTGAGACGGAAATTTCGAGCCAAGCTACTGCGAAGCTCGAAATAAAGGCCAGCAGCTTCTTATACGCAATGCACTCAGTAGAAAATCTGAAATCGAGGTACATAGCGTCGAGGCATCCTGACTTATTACATTTGCTCGTCTCGATAGATCGAGTATTCAGTAGCTGGAGTGTTGTATTGTGTACTAATCTGTAGGTGAATCTGTGCGTCCTGTACATGGCTTGAGCTAGGGGGTCCTTTCAAGACTTTGCACGCCGCAGAGGCTGACGATATCGGCCATTTATAAAAGGAATGCACCTCTAAACCTTTTCTGCGGACAAGACATACGATAGCTGCCTTAAGATTTCAGGTACATCTTCTTCATCGAGCGATCTGCAGACAGTCATAAAGGTGGAGTGCACACCGACAGCCCAAACTTCTTGAGCGCGATACACGGTCGCCCGTATAGCGTCTGCTCGTATTAGGCAGCAGGCTGAAGTTCTTCCAGGTGCTACCAGACGTGTGTGGTCAGACAGCAGAATCACGCTTAAATCCCGAAGGGTTCTTCCTTTGTTTTCATTGCCGAATTTCATTTGTGATTGAATATGTCTCTTCAAAATGCTCCGTTATTTCGGCATTTTCTTCGTAATCCGATAAATGTTCCATCAGCTTAGTACATTACCCTGAGAGTTCCTTACTACGATCCTCCTTAGGATGTAATTATTATATGGCTATACACGCACGAACACAGATAAGACATGTCCGGATATTACTCCGCGCTCCTCTAACCTCGGATATTATCTGTGAGACACTGCCTTTAAATACAAAGTAAGAATTTAAATTTGAGAAAGAATGAATAAATGCATAACAGTTATAACAAGACAGGATTGACCACTGTTGGTTGACATAGGTAAATGTGACATTCGACCAAGTTCGGTGATGACCTTTACTTGATCCGACACCTGTACTTACTGGTCATTCGACCACATGACGACATAGCATAGTCTTGAACTTTGCCTCAAACTTCGACTGATTCAACTGTTCGACATGATACGTTTATTTGTAGGGTCTGTACGTGTTCGAGGCTGTGTTGTTTTCAACGTTTATATTGTACAATGCATCTACTTCATCTGGAAGCCCGCAAGACACGTGTAAGTTACACTGCCAAGGCTTCAGATTTATTAGAATAACAGAAACAGAGTGTAAACATGGTCCTTTATTAATTAACAAGTACATTCAAAAGAATAGTATAAACGAACGCTATCTTTTTGTAACAAAAAAAAAATAACTAAGGCACAAAAATACTATATATATATATATATATATATATATATATATTTAAGAAACTCGTAATCTCAGCTACACTGGTTAACTTATTGGCATTTCGGCTAGCATTTATGGTATTGACAATGAGCCCTAAAAATGACAGTTTCATAAATCCGGTAGATCAATAAATCAGTACAAAATCCTAATTTTAGCTCATTAAAGCTCTCCTGATTCGCTGTGCCGTTAGGTTCGTAACCTGCTTTTATGTAGATCAAAGAGAACTTGAGTTACTTTGCTGTTTATCATGTATACATGAACCTGTTTCTTAAGGGTAGGGCTAGCGAGAGATGGCAAGTATGGGTGCAGTTACGGGCAGAGATCTCGTCTTTTGCGGTTGCATCTACTCAATGTTGGCAGCAGTAGTAGAAATTGGGATGTATTTTGAATACTGTTACATTATCATGATTGGCACATGCTGGAACCAGACGAGCAATGAGTTTAAGAATGCGCTGTTTGTAAACAAACAGTTGCTTAGCTATGCGCTGATACTACGACACAAGTCGAGTACGGTTGCATATCCGGTCACATTTATAGTAAACACCAAAATGGGCCCAGTCTGAGTGGAACGTAACTAAAAAATCAATGACTTAGCTCAGGAAAGATTTCCCAGGTGGTGATTAACAATGTGCTCCTTTTCACGTAATCATGGCTTCGCAATGCTCGGATCCGCTGGACTGCGGTGAGTAGGGGCACTCTCTGTCTGTATCATGCAGGTTCTTCAGGGGGTTGTTGGAGCGGTACTAAGTGGTTTCCTGCTCCGTGGAGCGCTACGTGAAGAACGTCGTTTCGTACTGGCTTGGCTCGTTTGTGCTGGACTCGGTATTGCGTTTCTGTTCAAGGCTTGCGTCATCGAGACGCTGGCCATCACAGCTCAGAAAGCCAAAGAACAAGTAAGACTGTTTCAGTTTACATCTGTAGTTATCAAGATCTGGATTGACTTTTTTGAATAAAGCGAATTTGCCTAAATTAATGTTGATGTTGTGAAGGACTTAGCAGATTCCGTCAATCATTACAGTTACCATAATTACGTCCAAACGTCATTTTCATACGGCTAGAACTTTGGCAAGGCTTGTGTGTCGGTTGCCGTTTACGCTAATGTCTTTACCTGATTGCTATTTACTGCCGTACCGATCAGTGACGAGTTAGTACGAGTTCAGCTGGATCAAAACACAGTGAACGACCTTAACGTTTCGAGTTTGCTGGTGTGACAATTTGTCGAGACATTGGAGAACTCTACAGTGAAATGTGTGGGAGGGTCTAAGCATTTCGTTCCTATATTGCAGGGAAACGCCGAGGCTCTTACGAAAACAGCCATTAAATGCCTAATACTTTTCGTCGAAATGTTTTTCTTTATTGTTGTACATGCGTTCTACGTGAGACTTCGCCAAGATCAAGATCCTCCACCTTACGATACGATTGCCTGAAGAGTCCCTCTATGACTCGGAAGTTTTCACTTTGCTCCACGTAGTCCATACAATATGCGTGACGATTGCCATCTAATTTAGAATGGTCACATAGAGCCGTACTATCGTAATACTGTTTTACCCTTCAACAAACAACAAAGTGTCGAAAGGGAACCGTAAAAGCTAGTAGCTTCCCTTGAGAAATGTCCGTTGGCCGAAGAAAAACGGACAGGGAAGGATACGCAACGAACCTTGATGCAGCATATATACTACCCATATGTAACAATCTTTTACATAAGAAGGCCTGACAAAGAGACCTTCTGATCCACGAGTTCCCACCCATCGCTTGCGTATATCCAATATGTTCATGTTTCGATGCGCAAGTGCGTCAGCAATGGTGACGCCTATACGGCTCAGAGCTGTGGCCAGACTTGAAGAATAACCATGCTTTTAATATCCTTAGTGGATTGTAGTTTCCTTAATATACGATATTATAACATAGAAACTTGCTAAGTTCAACCTATTTTTACAACCTAAACAATTTTAATAAATGTCTTAAATAGAACATAATTGACAAGGATGACCATGTTGCTAGAGAGTTACGCCAGGAAATACTAAATATTTAGACTTTGCATAGTATTTCAGTGAATTCAACCCGAAGATATCTAGCATATCTTCTAGCTACGACCCTGTAACGTTGAAGTCTATCGTTTGTGTACTCAGCAAAACAACTGAAGGGAAAAAGTTGTAACTATGGCAGTTGAATAGCCGCGCGCATTCGATAGATGTTGCCTGGTCACACTGCACTATGGTACGCAATAACATATTGAAACTCGTCCGCAATTGTTGCTTGGGCAGGACATGATCACCCGACTACAATGGATCACAGGCCAGTTCGACTACTTGTGATAATTTCGTCGTGCCTCTTGTGACGACGTCCATAATACTTATCTCAGTCGAGTGATGCTACTCGAGTGAGGTTTCTCGTCTGAATATATACATATATATATATAGATATAGATATCTATGGTTACAATTGTCTGTTGCATCTGTACATAAGAGTATAAATGATTTTAATACTAGAACTAAGTTCACTTCATATTTATAGTACAGTTGATATTTTTCTCTGTAAGTTAGTCGTTAATAAAAAGCGATGCTCTATACTAGAGTGTGCTAGATTTTATAGACATCCCTTCGGAGTAAAATAAACTATAATAGAAAATAAGTTAGGTTAGCCGGAATGCTTTATATTGTAATAGTTTTCATTGCGTCCTACTTAGACTCTTTGTACCGGGATAGAATAGGATAAGCAGTATGAGATGCAGCAGCTAAATTGGCACTAAGGGCAGTTACTGTGGTCATGGTAGGTTCTCATCAATTGGCGGACACTGTTTACTGCAAGCCGTTTTTGAGGTACTCCACACTTTACATCTATTCTGTAATTAGTTTGTGAGAAACCAGGTCCTGGCTCCTTATCATCTTTATAATTTCATAAAACTTGCTGCAAAGAATCTCGTTGCACTGCTGAGGGCTGCTCTAACATTTGTGCTCTGATTTGCTCAAAAAGGTTCCGCGATTACAGCGACTCGTTCTAAAATTTCAAATCTTGAGATGCAGTTATTTTCTGTGCTTTTTCAACTTTCTAACTTAAAAATTGTTGCTCCAGTAACAAACTATTGCTTCTCGAAGGGCTTTTGTGTGGTCCAGTTTCGTCCGTTCTCGATAGATCTCGCCAGTGTTCTCACCTTCGAGAACTACATAATCAATTTATAGTCGTATACGGGGAATAACTCTTATAAAATATAGACCGAATTCCATTTCGGAGTAGTGCGTAGCTCAAAAGGTGTTCAGCATCCTCGATCCTCTGAATAGCTACAATATATGTATATGTGTTCAGTATGTAACATTGATTTATCTTTAATGCCACAATTGCGTAAAGCTATGAAACATTAGCAGAACTTATTCAGACATAGCACACTTTTAAGGATGTAGCGGAAGAAGGAGAATTAATAAACGCGTTCCCCCTGTTGAAAAACACCGATCTAATTTGGTAAAATTATGAGAACAATGGATGTATTTAGTTTTATGGTCGAGAGACAGAAAAAGTCTGTTCGATCACCGTATCTGAACCCCCTATTGAGTGGCGTGAACGTACTGGATAACAGTAAATTTTCAGAGGACAACCTCAAGTCTCCTTACATTTGGGTCGGTTTCAGTTGATTTCCTAGCGATGGTTGCAGTTCGAGCTGGAAGCAAAATGGACATTCGAGACTGACATGTTGACTCTTGTTCCTGAGTCGTTGTTAGGATAAAAAAACCTCCAATAGGCATACGCGGACTGAATTGGCCTTCAGCTAACATTCAGTAAATGACCAACAGACATCACTATTAGAAGACTGATACGAACGTTTTCTATATCTTTTATAACTTTCTTTGAGTAAACTTTCTGCAAACAAGGACGACAGCAGCTGTACCGTAGGTAAAATGTCTTTTGTCCATGTACGAATAAAGCACAAATCTCTGGTAAAAGACAACCATTTAGGAAGGCTGGGTCATTGATAACTGCAGCTTCTACGGCTTTCATATTCTAACAACGGTGCAATTCAACGCTGGCACTGAGTCTTTCTAATGACCTCAAAATAGGGATAGAAATGGATAT